CATTGACATATAGAGACGAGTATCTTATGGGTGAGTCAATTATGCATGTTTTGTTCATTTCAGTCCATACAATGGAGGAACTGAAGCTCACTGGAAATCATTTAAAAGGTTCCCGACCCATTTTGACTTTTTCTGGCAATTTTGAAAAGGATGCTCACTGGAAGCTTATGAAGGAGATGATCATGCAGGTAAACTTAATGTTGCTTTCCTAGTTCCCTTGTTTAAATATATGTTTGTGATGGGTGATAGATGTGGGTGTATTACTCTCTGAAATAAACTAATTTTAGTGTCTTTTTGAAGTCTCTCTATCAAGTAGCAATAGTGTTGCAACTTGTCATTTGTGGATTATGTATTACACCAACTGCTCATTTCTGTTTTTACATTTGGTGTGAATGATATGCTAGTCAACATGATCTTACTTGAACTGTTCTAATATCTTCCTTCCTTTGCTTGAGCGTATGTGAATGATAGTTTCTGACTAAAGCCTTGACCTGTCAAATAGTGATTCTATTGTTTGTATGTTGGAGAAGAAATTACTTCCCCTGTTGACACTGTCTTTTTTCTTTTTATCAGATATTTGGAACTCCAAAGGAGCATAGGAAATCTAAGCCTTACTATGATCATGTCTTTGTTTTTTCCATTGTTGATGACCACATATGGTTCCGCAATTACCAGGTTGGTGATGGTTCAAATTATAATTGTTTTGCAATTTCTCTGCATTGTTTAACCTATCACTCTAGACTCAGTCTGAGTGTTGAGTAATAGATATATTTTATTGAAAGCTTCTAATATGAGTCTAAAAGCAAGAGGTTCATTTTATATCCCTTTCCCTTGATTCTGGTTTTAAAAGTGAGGTTGAATGGAGTTTGGTAGAAAATATAAGGGAACAAAAGCTCTCCTTTCCCCCTCTCAAAAGGGAAAAATTGAGGCTGAGAAAAAAAATTGAGGCTGGGAAAAAGGAAAAAGGAAAAAGACATAGCTCATACTATTATTGGCTTGAAATGCAGATAACTGTCCCTCATAATGAATCCGATAAAGTGGTTCGAGGAGGCCTAGATAAAATGACACTTGTTGAGGTATGCCTTGTGATTTATTTTATGTTATGCCTATTACTTGCAATTGTGGTTTAATCCATGAACTAATCTGCACAGGTTGGTCCAAGATTTTGTTTGAATCCAATCAAGGTCTTTGGTGGCAGCTTTGGTGGTCCAACACTGTATGAAAATCCTTTCTACGTTTCACCGAACCAGGTTGGACTCTTCTGAATCTTGCAATTTTTTGGCATTGAACAATTTCTGTACTTGGCACTAGTTAGCAGTTAAATTTTCCTCCACCTCTGGTTGAACTGTTGAAGGATGTTACCTTCCATTCCATCTGGGTGATTTTGGTTTTTGTCACATGATAGGGGTTGCATGTATTTAGGAATCTTTTTCTTCTATCCGCCATTAACCTTCAGTCCTTTACCAACATTTGCAGATCCGAGCACTGGAGAAAAAACAGAAGGCTGGGAAGTATGCTAAGAAAGTCAAAGCCAAGACAAGGCGGAAAATGCATGAGCTATCAAATCCATTGGAGCCTGATGAGTTTGCAGATATGTGGAAGTAGTGACATTCACCAAGTTTCGTCACTTAACAATCATAAATTCAAAATTTGCTAGAAAATCTTTGTTGTATCCTGCTTTTGAAGATTCGACTCATCCTTTATTCTTTTTCCAATTTTGATCTTTGTCTGCTGAGACAATTATTACCGTTTATTCCTAGATTATTAACATTATATATTAAATCAAAGATGTGTTATAGAATTGTTTTCATTCTCATCTTCAAGTCCTACGTTTATAAATGTTTATAAAATAATTGAAGCAAAATTAGATTGACAGACTAGAAAATTTCAGAAATGAGATGATTCTGGTTGTCAAAGCAATCAGTCAATCAGGGCTGTTCCTTTTATTTATACCATTATTTTTCTATATTCTTGCATCAATAATTGCATGCTATCTTAACTCCCCTGTAAAAGTACTAAATCTACGGTCGACAAAGGGTAAACGGTTACCTGTCAAAACTACGATATCCACCAAAGAGCTGAACTTTCCAAGAAAAATTAAAAAACTCAATTACTTGAATGAGTATTGTTTATTTCTGTGGACCACTAAACATAAAACAAATTTGAAGTTTCTATGCAGGAGTAGAGAACGTAAGCCGAATGCCAGACTTTGCACGATCATGATCATTTTTCTTCAGTATGTGGCAGTAGTTAAGCTGAAAGAAATTAACAATGGTAAAAGTATTAGTAGAATGCCGTGCCACTGGCAAAGTCTGTCAAAACAAACAGCCAAAAAGGGGATGGAAGACATGGAAGACAACTGACCTCCATGCGAAATAGACTAGTAGGGATGACAAATCCAACTCCTACAGTCCCTCGGGCTGACTCTATAAACTTCTGTGGAGTGAAATTTCGGTACTCATTTTCTGTTAGCTTAGTGACATTGCCAGCACATGCAAAGACATGAGCATGGATTCCTTTCTCTCTTAACCAACTAAATGGAAGATCAAAGGAAAGGTCTGCTAAAGCACTAAAAGCAAGGTCTCCTCCAAGACAATCCCTCTCAGGAGGATCGGCATTCTCATCATTGATCTGTCTTCTTGGTTTGGTGAGTCTCAATCCCCTTGCCTTAAATCCCCATAATGCTGTTGGTCCTCCTAAAGTGCAAAGTGGTGATGTATTTCCACCTAAAAAGAATCTCTCTGGCATGGATGAAGAACTGTTCAAGAATCCATCCCCCAATGGAAGGATAACACCAGCAGAAACCCCAAAATTAAGGGCAGCACAATAAAATCCAAGAGGAATAGCACATTGAAGATCGAGTTCCTGTAGTTATATTCAAACGAGGATGATTATTACCTCATTCTGGTTTGTTAAAACTATCATTATAGTTAGAAACAAAAATGTCAATATCAAAGTTCATAAAAACCTACAGTGAATATGAAAGAATAACCAAAAAATAAAATTAGATAGATGCCATGAAAGAACCAAAAAAGCTTCAGCAGAGGTCAAAGATCAATAAAGTTGCATAGAAAGGCATGAGAAAGATTTTCAGACAGTGAGGATTAAACAGGAATTATAAAGGTCAAAAGAAAATTAAAGAGGAGGAAAATTAGCATAAACAAGCATTCTCTTGAAACTTCAAAATACAGAAATCAATAAAACCATCAAAGGAAAGCATATAATTATAAGACCAAAATAAAATATCAGATCAAGGAGTTGTTTACTTAGACAACATTTAGGGAAATCTCTTTAAAAAATCACATGTTAAATATGAAACTTCATTGCATTATAAAGGTTCGATACTTTTCTGTAAGAATACTGACAACTGCACTGGGATTCAAAGTGGGAGAAAGGGATTCACTCACTACAGTATGAGCAAGCACACATTGATTTAAAGCAGTAAAAAAATCTTGGCATGGCTTCTTGTCATGTAACAGGAGTACACAAACAGTGCTACTAACACATTACAACCAACACAAGAAAGCATGAAATGA